ATGGTGAGTCTTAGATGTAAAGGCCTGAACTGAAGGGACTAAAGAGTGTATTGCGTCAGAAAAATTTCCAATTTAAATTGCTCAATAGCAACATTAGCAAAACCTTCATTTACGTTACCACTCAAATGAAAACCTTCATAAATGATTACATCAAACAAAAAAAAATGATTACATAAATGATTACATCAAACAAAAAATAAATAATTAAATAAATAGATAAATAATAATAATAATAATAATAATAATAATAATAAAAACCACCAATCAAACATACCAAATATAGAGAAGTACGGTGGGAAATAATATAAGACCTAACCTCAATCCAAACATGCTTGCCAATGTCCGTAGGGACATCATGCGAAACAACAGACTCTCAAAGGCAGAAATAGATAAGATAAAATTAGATATAAGACAAAATATTATGACCCATCACTCAAACTCTATTGAGACGAATGTAGAAATAAGAAACGCAACAGAGTATGGGGTGGACGCTGGAGAGAATGAAGTATGGAATAATCTCCCAGGAAATGAAACTCAAGACCCTACCTTAAACACAACCTACAGTCCTCCAGAAACTGTACCTGGAGTCATCTTCAGTGACAAGAAGTTAGGATTCCTTGAAAACCACGAAGCTGAAATCACCGAAGCGAAAAATGACGTCATCCAAGTACTCAGCAGAGTAACATTCATACAATTGTCAGACAGACACCATCTCCCGAAAATCCATATGACGAACTCCAACAGGCACATCGTGAAAATATACAATGCTGCTCTGGAAACACTGTTAACAGATAAACCACCGGGAAACATCAAGAAGTTAACGACGTCATACGCCACAGCTTTAGCAGCGACTCGGAAGCTTGAGTCAAGACAATAAATAAAATTAACAGACACAGAGAACCAGCTTGGAAAACCTAACTGATTCGAGAAATACAACAAATCAGATGTGAGCTTTCTATATTAGATGAGCTCAACAGAAACCCTAATATTTCCGTAAATTCAAAAGATCAAGCGGAAATATATTATTGAATCCCTAATTGATATTCCATCAATCAAGGAAATGCTGAAGCAGAAAACTTCAGCTAAAGGCCTGAGAACAAGACGATACGAAAAACGTTGTAGGTTCTATCGCCAAAATAAAATATTCGAACAGATCTTAAGAAATTTTACAGGAAATTGGAAAACACTATACATGTCGAAAGGCCACCATCATTACAGACATTCTGGGAAAATATCTGGAGCAGCCCAGGAGTATAACCCAAATGCAGGTGGATACGGCGTGAAGAAGAACGAATGCTGGATACACCTCTGCAAGAATGGGAAAATATATCCACAGATGATGTTAGGCAAGCTCTAACGAAATCCCCAAAATGGAAATCCCCAGGAAGTGACAAGTTGTCCAATTTCTGGCTGTATCATCTCACATCTACCCATGAAATTCTTGCAAAAACATTATCAACGCTTGTAAATAATCCCTATAAAACCCCGGAATGGATTACTGAAGGTGTGACATACCTCATACCAAAAACAACTGAAACAGACGACCCGAAAAATTATAGACCGATAACATGTCTCTCTACAACGTATAAGTTGATCACGTCTGTATTGACGAACCGTACTTATTCCTTTCTCGAAACAAACAGCATTCTCCCGCTGGAACAGAAGGGATGCAGAAGAGGTTCATATGGCTGCAAGGATCATCTTCTGATAAATAAAATGATCCTGGAAAATTGCAGGAGACGACACAGGAATCTAAGTGCAGCGTGGATTGATTATCGTAAAGCCTTTGATAGTGTTCCACATTCTTGGATCCTTAAGACTTTGGAAATCTACAAAGTCTCCCCTGTGGTATTAAATTTCCTTAAGCACAGCATGGGAATGCGGAACACCAAACTATACCTAAGTCACACCGGGGGCACTGCCATATCCAACCGTCTGAGTATCCGACATGGAATCTTTCAAGGAGATTCTCTGTCACCCCTTCTGTTTTGTTTATCCTTAATCCCTCTTACACATGAACTGAACAACAGTAGCTATGGTTACAAAATAAATAAGAAAATATTCAATCACCTACTCTACATTGATGATCTCAAACTCTTTGCCAAAGACGACAATGAGTTGAAAGGCCTCCTCAATATTGTAAAATACTTCAGTGACGACATAGGTATGGACTTCGGATTCGATAAATGTGCAAAAGTAACTTTCAAGAAAGGTAGAATTACAGAAACACCCTTAATAGATTTAGATTTTGTCACAAAGATTAGGGAACTGGAGCATGGTGAAGCTTATAAGTACCTAGGAATTAGCGAAGGAGATGGCATACAACACCCCCAAATAAAGGAAAAAAAAAGAAAAGAATACCCACAGGCGTGTACGTCTGGTACTAAATACTGAGCTAAACTCAAAACAGGATATCAGCCATGAACACATTGGCTGTCCCTGTGGTGTAATACAGCTTTAATGTCCTTAACTGGACCATAGCTGAAATTAAGCGAATGGATGCCAAAACGAAAACCTTACTCACTTGCTATCGCATGCATCATCCCAAAGCTGATGTCGACCGTCTGTATGTGCCCAGATCCGAAGGAGGCAGAGATTAGTTCAACTAGAACT